GCTGCTCCCCTCAGCAGTGTACTTCGTTGATCTGCCTGTTCTGTTCCCCACTCTGTCTCTGGTGAAGCCTCTCACCCTCCGCATCTCTGGCCTGTACCCCAGTACTGTATGCATAAATAAAAAAAAAATTTAAAAAAAAAGTCCATAACTCAAACTAGCTTAATTAATAAAGTATATTTTGCATAACTGCACAAAGAGATGTAGAATTGAGTCCAGGCATGACAAACAGATGGTCAGTAAGCCTTCTTCCATCCCTCTTTACTGTCATTCTCATGCTTATATAATAGCTGGCAGGGGCAAGGAGGTTATATGTTTTTCTGTGTCTAGCGAGATAGGGGGAGAATCTGTATGAACAAAAATTATAAATTATCCCTCATTATCTGTTTACCCTAAAACTAATACAGTGTTGTCAGCTATAGCTGTTTTAAGATTTTAAAAGAACATTTTTTTTTTTTACCATGCAAAAGTTAATCTTTCTGCTCATTAGTTCCTTTATTCATAAAAGATACTCTCTAGGATTGCAGTGAGCATATTTTAAGATTTGGAGTAAAATTTATACATAGTTCCCTGTTAAAAAATCTTAATTTGTTGGCAAGGTATCTGAGGAACACAAGACTAAAATCCTGCACAGTGTCTTTTGGCTCTAAAAGTTGTAAAATGGTAGTATATAAGAAACAAGATAAACAAAAAAATTGCCTTTTCATTGCAAATATATATTTACCTAAGAAATATAATGCTCAGCAAATACAGAGCTTAAAAGCCATGTTTTAATATCATATACATTAATCAGAGAAGGTACAAACATACGTCATAGGGTTTTCCTATATAAAATTTAAGAGCTATACTTCCTGCTGACTTCACAGTATCTTGTTTTGTACTCATAGGGATAGAACATAAGGGAATGAAAAGGTCAGACTTTTTTAAATCTATAAAACAATCACATTATATTTCCATTTTTAAGTTATATAGTTTCAAAACTGCTATACCAGGCATTAAAAATAATAAAAATAATTTATTATTTATTAAATAATAAAAATAATTTTATAAATTAAAAATAATTTTAAAAGTAGCAACCAGTTTCATTGAGGTGGCTGTCCATCAACATTGGTTCTATTTTCTCTTAATGATATTGACTCTATTCCTTAAATTTCTGTGAAGTTAAATGTGCCATGTGCTAATTTTTACCAATGGAATGTGACTAGGAAGATTTAACTCAGTTTTCAGCTCTGACTATGCCTTTTCCAGTAATTTCTCTTCCATATTCTGAAGCTTAGATCTGCAAAGAACCTATTTCTATCATGCAGATGGCACAATAAACTAGGGCAAGAAGGGAAACATTATATAAGGATAATCTGTATGAGCTAGTAGAGCAAAGCTTCCTGATACCATGAAGGTCAGGAATCTGGAATTTTATGTAACAGTGAAAAACATTCATTGTTTTTAATATTCACTGAATGTTTGGGTTTGGGTTTCTTGGTTAACAGAGCCATCACTCTAACCACAGGCAGATCCATTAAGTTTAAAATAAAACAGATGTTTTATTTTTAAAATGATGAGTTCAAAGATAAAATGAGAAAATAAAAAATAAAAGCCAAGGAAAATTATTTTAAGCTTCAAATATTACATATGAGATAGACTGTTGTTCAAACCCTTCCTCAAAGGAACCCAGATTTTAAAATAGTGATTTTCATTCAGACATGGATTCAGCACGAAGAAATTCACTGTTGCTCTTCCTCAAACTTCCTCTAAACTGATAAATATCTGAGAAGTTATGTTTAACAAAGAATTCCCTTACTAATAAATTGTGAAATATCAAATATTATACTGACATGTAGGTTCTGAATATGTATTTATAATAAATTTCTGCTATGGAGTAAACACAATGTAGTTGTAAATCTTAAATTTAAGCACTAGAATTTTAAATATGAGATTGATTAATCCTTTTTAAGATAGATATGACTTAAGCATCTTGTATGATCCTTTGAATACATATATACTGTTCATACAAGATAGATAAGATATATATATTAAGAATATAGATTTATAAGAAAATTTGAATTTGTAACTTATCAATTAATTATTGATAATATTAATAAACATCATTTATTCATGACTTTTGTAACAAATTCTCAATGAAATGTTTCATTTAGCAAAATGGAAAAAGGTTTTTTGCCCAGAAATCAAAATTAAGCTTCTAATAAATATTTAATGTATTTTGATAATTTGAAAATGCATCATGGCCAAGTTTTTAGTGAAAATCTGTTTCTTTTAGAAAAACAAAAATGGACTTTTGCACTGAAATAAAAATTATACTTCTATCGAGTATTTAGTATGTGTTGATAATTTGAAAATGCATAACATCAGTACTAATCAATTGCAAACCCTGTATCTAAGACAAAACAAAAATTATTTTCAAGTATTCTTCAATATTTATAATGTTGAAGAAATTTAGCAAGGAGAACTTATTCTGTGATTTAGTACTTATTTTATATTGCCTTGCTTCATTTTCATAGGGAAAAACATTGAGTATATTTTTTGATTAGTGGCCACAGGGGGAAAAATGTTGATTTAAAAAAAATAATAACCCCCCCTCACTGAATCTGTTTGCTAAAAAACACACATTTTGTTGCTCATTTCTAAAAGTTGTCTTTTTTTTCATGGTACAACAAATCTGAAATTTTGACCACAAATATGTCACTATAACAATGTATCAAAGTTATCTGCAGTTTTAGTCTTTTTTAGGTCAATCTATATCCTGTATCAAACTTCTAAACTTGACTCTATCCATTTATTAAACAAGTGCATATTTAATATAACAGAACAGTTTTCATATTATCTCTTCACATTTTACTGTAATATTAGACCTTTTCCATTTATAGCAGGGAACTTCAGCAAAATTTAAATATATATTAGCCTTTCTCCAATATGTGAAATATTCTGGTTTCAATATTTTTGACACATTTCAGGAATTATTAACAAAATTAGTCCTTATTTTTGGGCATGTACTTCATTAGACACCAACATTTTTTATCAGCATGCCTGAACACTTTACATGATCAAGACAGCAATGTGTAAAAACTATGTAAACTTCTTTTTTTGCTTGATTATTGAATATTCCCAATTTTGTCACAATCTGTAAATGTTTTTGAACATTATGTTGCATTGCTCCCTTATTATAAAGTGTTATATCCTCTATTTAGTTATACAAAATGAAAAATGGCACCTCATTCACAATATACATATCACTATTAATATTCAACTAAGAAAACTTGAAACATATAAAACATATATGGATTTAAACATTTTGGATTGTAATTCTTAACGACTTGTGGCAGTTATTTTGCATACAGCACCTCAATAAAATTCTTATAACATTTGAGGTAGATACTTTGTTCGTTTTGATGAGAAAACTAAGGTTTAGAGATATTAAATAAAGTGACAGCAATAGACAATAGAGCTGTTGTGCTTTTTTTTTTATTATTACTAATTTCCACTACCTCCTAACATGTCTTCTCTTTTAGAAATTACAAGGGGATAGAAATACTTGTACCTACCTACCTACCTACCTACCTATTCTCATCATGTGTCTTCTATTCTTGATCACAACGGAAGATTTTAATGTTCACAACTATATAACAAACTACCTTTACACAAAATACACTGGTTTAAACAAAATGCACTGAGGTTCAAGACAGGAATAGAAAACTGTTTTTTCTTAGTTCCTTGTTTTGCAATATGTGCTATATCCTAGGAAATTTTGGAAATGCCAAGAATTGAACCAAAACTTTTTTTTTAAGGCAGATCTATGGAAAGTCCTCCCTCTTATCTCCCTCTTATGACTTCTTTTCTTGAATGGAAATGTTTTACATCACTTAAACACTCTCAGCTATAGTTTTTATCAGGTACAATGGTATTGTCTTTACTTCTTAGCTGGTAAAGTGTTATTAACAAAATGTTTGGTGATTAGAAATTAATCATATTTGTTTGCCATTGAAATCACAATTGAGACAAGTCAATTTGGGGCTAAAGATATACAAACAATTAACAATTTCCTTAAAAATTCTGAAACAGTCAAAATAAGGGAAAGTAGCTGCGCACTGTTAATTCTACAATAAAAATAATGTTCAAATTATCTAATCTTTAGGATATTAAAAGATCAGTTACCAAAGCAAGAAAACGGTAATTTATAAAGGATCACCCAAAGCAGAGATTAAAATGTGTAAAAAATATGTATACATATATATATATATATACACACACACACACACATGTGCATTTCTTAAAGCAACATCTGTAAAAATTAAACACCCTTCAATAACAGTCATGGGATGCTTTTAGATTATTCCATACACTAGGTTTATTTAACAAATCACAGAATCATGTATAGATAAATACTTGAAAAATTCCTGGGGTAAACAAATCAGCATTTATTAGATGTATAGGAACTAGAGCCAGGAGTAGATATGAGTCCCTAAATTATAAATATTACCTTTTTCATAAAAGGTGGTATTTTATAGGATACTCAAATAATAACAATTTATAAAAACAATTATCAACACTTTAAAATACTGACGACTGGAGTGCTAATAGCTGGAAGTTTTGGAGGATTGAAGAATGAACAACAAATTCAACCAGTGCAAAATACATTATGCATTACGCATCCTTTAAAGAACCAAAACGGGGGTTGGGGCGTGGGGATTGCAACAGGTTCTCACTACACCAAGAAAAGTTCAGATATTCGGAGGTGTTGACTGGCATCCAGCTCTTGCATTTTAAAATCCCCTCTCCCTCTCAGGGTTGGCCTCCCTCCTTGAGCACCAGAATGTCCGAGGCAGGCGCTGGGCACACGCAGGACCTCCAGAGGGCCCTGCCCCCTTCCTGAGACCCAACGCCAAAGGTCTCCCGGAAGTGCACGGCTGCCTGGGAGCGTGGCTGGCAGACCCAGCAGTCCAGAGTTTGCGCAGCTAAGCGCCGCCAGGGGCGTACGCTAGGTGGGGGTGGGCCTTGGCGTTGGGGGGGGCTCGTGGGGGGGGGGCGCCGAACGCGGGAGGAGGCGGGGCCCACGCGAGGCTCCGCCTCTCCCGGGCTGAGGCCTCAGGCTACAGCCCCGGCTCTGGGGGCTCCGAGGCCAGGGGTGGGAGGCCCCGGTGAGGCTCGCCCAGAGGCGGCTCTTCCTTGTCCCCACGCGTGTGCGGTCCCCGCTGCTCGAGGTGCAGTTGCAGCAGCGCCCGGCGGTACATGCCTTCCAGCTTCTCAAGCCGGGCCCTCAAGGCCCTGGGGCTGCCCGGTTCGTCCTCGGGGTCGCCGCCTCTCACCCTCCGGTTCGTGCCGGCCTCCGGGCCCGGAGTCGCCCTCGTCGCCTCCGCGGGCAGCCCGTCGCCGCCCTCACCGGGGAGCCGCAAGGCCTGACGGAACAGACTGCGGTTCTCGCGCTTCAGCCGCCGGTTCTCGAGCCGCAGCCGGGCGTTCTCCTCGCGCAGCCGCGCGTTCTGCCGGTCCCGTTCGTCCCGCGCGCGGATGGCCTCCAGGTGGCTCGCTGCCAGGTCGGCGAACCGTTCCTCCAGCTGTTGTCGGGCGCCACCCGCACGGCCTCGCCAGCCCACACCGCCGTCGCCGCCACCCCCACGAACTCCGCCTCGGCGGCCCTGCCCGCGGCCGTCCCCGCCGCAGTCCCCGCCACCGCAGCTCCCGCGCCTGCTGGCGCCACCACGCATGCGCCACATCGGTCCTGTACCAACCGCGTCGCTAGCGCCGTGGGCCGAGGCGCGGGCGAGTTCGCGGTCCGGCGGGGCCGCCCGGGCGGCAGCGGAGGAGGAAAAGAGGTGGCGGACGGCGGCTGCTGGCTCTTGGCCAGAGGAGGCCGGGAATTCGCCCGGTTGAGGCGTGTCTTGTCTCCTGTGGTGGAGCTGCCCCCTGGGCCTGCGATCGCTGGGCCCGGCGCGCACACAATGCCCCCGGGGAGCGTTTGGCTGCTCAGCTTCTGGCTGCGTGGGTAAAGCGTGTGTCCTCAGTGCGTTCTGCCCGGACGCTTCCGTCAGGCCTGGGCACTGCGGGAACTGGCCGCTTCTTACCCCTCTGGAGCCGCCACCAGTGGTTACCTTGCTCTTTATTTACATGTCAGTTGCAAAGCAGATAATTCTAAAATAAGGGCTAGAATACAGGTGGAAGACAAGTTAAAAGGCTGTCACTACTTCACTTAGACCACAGCGGTTTAACCCACCTTTCAGCTTAAAACATTCCATAAATGGAGCCTAACTCTGTCATGAGACCCGCGTGTGGGAACAGGTAGTTCTCAAATGAATATAGGTTAATTACCAATTTGTGAACAGCCAGGACTCCATTTTGCAAACTGTGTAACTCTCTAGAAACAAGGTTATAATTAGTTGATTTGTTCAGGCCTGTCCACAACAGTGAAACTCAATTCAAGAGACAGCATACTCAATTAAATTTCTGGGTACAGGTGGATACAACGCCACCTTCCTTGTTTTTAAAGGATTAAATTTGACATAATAACTATTGTTGGCAAAGTACTGATACCAGAATCTAATGGAGAGAGGTGGAAGCTCCAATCCATAATGTAACAAGACTATAGATAATTCTTAGGTTCACTGAAGTCTCTAAACTAGTTAAGCAAGTTAATGAACAAGAACATAGGAGAACCTGGTTTACATAGCTGGGGCTTTTACTGCTCAGTATACAAACAAAAATAACTAGAAGAAATAGAATCAACCATTTTTTTGTAGTTCATTTTGCCAATTTGTTTACAATAGCAATAAGCGCCATCCAAACCAATTTAGAACACCTCGAGGCCAAGACAAACACAAGTAAAATTTACAAAAAAAAAATCAAGAACAAGGCTGAAGGTCTTGTTATGTAGTAAAATAATTTTTTTAAAAAATACTGCTAACATAATTGCACAATGTCAAAGTAATATTCCAAAATGTTTCTAAAGGAAAAATAGAGCATATCTGTCATCTCAAGGTCCTTCAGAAAGTGTATTTTGAAGTGCACTGCTACATAGCTGAAAAAGAAGAAAAGTTCTACCATTTGTTTTTTTTCTTTTAAATAAGTATTTTAGGCCTTTAGTAAGTTCACAAGAAGGGTATTTCAGTGGACCATTTTGGATCTAGTAGAGCCTTTGGGCTCCCCTATTCTTCATCTGAATCTCTGGTATATACCATCATTTGTCTCCTATTTTTTTTTTTGTTTTTGTTTTTTCCTTTTTTTTTTTTTCAATGATTTTTGGCCTATTTTATTAAAAATGCAGTTACATATGATTCCATATGGTATAACTAAGAATACTGTCTGTGTCTTTGTTGAATGTCTGTATGTCTTTTACTTGTGTTTAAATGTCTTGGCCTTGAGGTGTTCTAAATTGGTTTGGATGGCGCCTATTACTATTGTAAACAAACAAACGGAAATTGTAATCTTCATGGTAACTAATTTGTTAAAAAAAAACAAACCTTGTATTGGTATGTATGTTTGTATATGTATACATTTTTTTCTCTTATTTGAGGTTCATAATGTCAGCCAAATTAAAGTTTGGAATAACTAAGGTCTTGAAAAAAATAATAGAGTCTCTAGTTATAAAATAAGGAAAACTACATGGCTATGGTTTGAATGTCAACATTGTCTTACTGAACTGAGCTGGAACTTTCCCGAAATCGGGATTGTCTTTGCTGTTATTTTTTTTCTTCTTCATATTTGTGACAAAGCTTCCCAGAATTCCAAATTAAATTGAAATTTGGTAGTTTGTCATTTGGTTCATTGAAGGAAGTTTTGTAGAACCTCAGTAGAGCTCCTGAAACACTCCACAAAATTTCTCCTTTTCCCCCTGGGGAAAGCATTCAGATAAATTTGTCTAATTTGATATACATACTACAGTAAAATTGGGAAGGAAGCATTGTCACTTGGAAAAAGGTAAACCTTGCACATAAACACAACTGTTAACCTTGTTTTTCTAAAACATGTAAAAAATAAAGTATTTTTTGATATGTATATAAATTGTGACTGTTGATCATTGTCTTATCATATTATTAGTCTGCTATTGGCAGAAATTGTTTCTGAAAAATTTTGATATGTGTTTGATATGTATGTAAATTTGAATGTTGATGATTGTTTTGCCATACTATATTCGATAGTCTAGTATTTGCAGAAATTGTTTCTAAAGAAAATGAAAACCTTTTTTTGTTTCCAGTAACAGCTCTCAACAGATTCTAATTGATTGAACTTTTGATATTGGAAAATAATTTCCACAAGAACCAAATAGAATGATCTTACTAAGTTTTGTTTGAAATACTACTGACATTTTTGTTTGTTTGATTCAAAGCCAGTTTCTTTGCTTTAAATGACCTGGATCTACAATAATATTCTAATTTTTTTTCAACAGAGCTAATTTTTGTTTCTATTTCTTCTCTCCCCTTGATACCAACACAGTTTAAAAACTGTAGTAGTAATTTTTACTTCTCACGAGTCTGTTTTTGCATAACTTCAACAGGGTATTTTGTATGTGTAAACTCTAGAAATTGGCAATCCGCTTCAATGGTTTTGCTTGGCATTTTCCAGGAACTCCAAACAGAGCTGAACAAAGAAGATGAGCAACGGCTGCTTTGTTTGTTGGGTTCCAGGGACCTCCAAAGAAGGTGAGGAAGCTTGCCTCCATTGGAAGGCCTGGACAACGTGGACGGACAATATTGAGCCCTGGTAACCTTGAGAAGAGGTGACCCCAGGTGGAATATGCTGAAATGGATGTTGTTCCTGAAGCCTACATCGACTGGACATCAACTGTTCGCTCTGATATTACGGACTGTTCCAACAAGGCCAACTAAAAATTGTTCTTTGATTAGTCTACCCTGTGATTTTATGCAAAAATAGAAATATGGTTAAATGTTAGCTTGAATTTGTAAATATGTTATACATTATTAGATTAAGTTGGAATCAAGTTTGAGAGAACTTTTTTTTACAGAAGTTAAACTAGTTTTTGAAGATTTTTGCTTGTTCCTGTTATTTTGATATACATATATTGCAACATTTTTTTTTTCTCTTCACCTATAACAGTGGACTATTTTACAATAATGAGCATCATCCTGGGCATTCATAAACACTGCTGGTGACTGCTGCTTCTTACACATATGCTGGAAACTCTATGAAGACTGGAAGTGTTACAGAGACTGTCTATGAAGACTACACCCTATAATCTGTGCCACCATAGATAAGGTGGTCTGAAATCAAAAGGAGGGGATTGTTAAGGGGAATGATGTCCTAAAGGAACTCTGCAGAGTCATATGGACTCCACTCCCTACTCCAACTTTCTGGACCCTACACCCTACTCCAGTGATTGGAAACTACAACTCCCAGCAGTACCAGGGAGAGAACTACAAGGACCCAAGGGCAGAGCTAGCAGGAATTCTGGGACATTTGGGGGATAAATAGGGCGCAAATGCATCTCTCGTTCTCTCGCTCCGAAAACGGCTCTCCAGACTGCATGACTCGTGTGTTCCGTCAGCCTAGTCATAAGGTATTCCAATTACTTTGTATACCACTCTCTTTCCCTGGGTTGTTTCCTATTCCTTTCCCCTTTTGTAAACAAACCCGTTATTGACCCTTTTATGTGTACCTGCAGTATAACCAAATTGTCAGTGCGTGGGTGAGGCCCCACAGGCGGCCCAGTCCACTCTGGGCTACCCTGTAACACTGTCAGTACCATTTCTCTCTAACTGAAAGAAATCTGTAAAGGATTTCTGCTTTTATGACAAAAAAGCATAAAGTGCTTTCAGTGTGTGTCCTGCAGCAGTGATACAGCGCCAGTGCTGTCCTCTAGCAGTAACAGTGGCACCACCCAAATCCTTTCCTAAAACTACTCTAGACAGGGTCTATTTTATATTATTCTGGTTTTTCATATAGGTTAGTGTTGTTTTAAGTTTTATCTGTTTTTTGATATGATTTGATAGTTTACTTTTTGGTTGGCTTGGGTGCTGGTGAATTGGCTGTCCGAGTAAGAAGAGTCCTAGGATGCCTGTGGTAGTGCAGAGACAGACATCCTTGCTTGTTGGAATCAGTTGTTTCAAACAGATGTATGGATGAGAATAACTATGACAGAGAACGGTGTTCTGCTTACTTCTTGAAATACAAAAAAATGCTGAAATTTTTGGAATTCTGTCATGCTACAGAGAAAACAGAATGGAGTGAAGCCATCTATTCCTAAAGCAGTAGAATGAGGCGAAATTTTGGGAGTGATGGGAAAGATGCCCTACTCAATGTTTGCATTGAAAAGCCTTGGAAAGCTCAGAAAATGTTTCATGTAAACTAATGGTAGTTTCTTCTTTGCTATACTCCATGTGTTTGGTTTAGAAGTTTTCATCGAAGCACTAACATTTTTGGAGCAGAGGAGACTACTTATTTTACACTTTCAAGATTAGTATGCTCATTTTTGTAGAGTATCTTCTAAATTTTTTTTTCAAAGATTTATTAATTTATGCATACAGAACTGGGGCACATGCCAGAGCTGCAGGGGTGGTGAGAGGATTCATCAGAGACAGAATAGGGAGCAGAACAGGCCAGCTGATGAAGTACACTGCGGAGGGAAACAGCAGGTAGGTCAGGAGAGCTCTGTCGTGCCATGTGGGTCACCTCCAGGGCAGGGATCAAACTCATGCTGAAGTGGCTTTAGCTTCTCAGTGCTGTGCTTTAACCTGCCACACCACCAGGAAGGGCCCTCTTCTAAATTTTTTTTAACTAAACACTATAGTAAACCCTACTGAGTTTTTGAAAGAACATTGATGCAGGTTGTGTGAGAAGGCCTCCATGCTCCCTTTCCCACACTGATCCCACACTGATTCCACACCTACCTCAAAGTATACTCTTGTGCCTTGATAAATTAATGAAGTGATGTAAAGTACTATGAAGATAAATAAGATGAATAAGAAGATCCAGAGAAGAAAGGAAAAAAAAAAAAAGGTGAGAGGGGAAAAAGAAATAAGAAACTGTTCAAACATAACTATCAACAGTTATGAGGCTATCTGTGCATAGCAATTTATGTTTATAGAAATTTTTATGAGTATTTCTAAATAGGAGGTAGAAACAATGGATGTTATTTCTAAGTTCAAAGAGAACTTGTTACTACAAGCATTATACAAGCAAC